TGCATTGATGTTGATGAATGCGTGCCATATGGCCATTTTGGTTGTTCGCTGCGCGGCGGTGGGGTTCTGGATAGGGGGGAACCCTGGTCTTCCCTGGGTTATACCTCTTGCGTTCCGTTGGCATTATGTTGTCAATTGGCATTTGGATGGTCGTTTTTATTTTAATTTTTTTTGGGGGGGGGGGGGGGGGTCTGTTGGTTGGGTCGGGGTCTTCCACGTTTGCATCGCGGTGCATCTGGGAGTCTTTGTTTTTTTTTATTTGATTTATTGTTTTTCTTTCTTCCACCCCTATTGGCTACTGGGGTTCTTGCCTGCCTGTTACAGTCGTGGCGTCTCACTCTCACTAACAACTACATTCTTTAACAGGCTTATGCGCACACACATGTATACACACACATACAGACACATTCACCCACACGCACACAGACACACACAGACACAAACAAACTTAGGTTGTCCCTGGTAGAATTATTCCTGATGCTTTTCTTTCAGTTATTTAAATTAATTATTATTCCAGCTCTCGTGGCTGTGTTGTGTTGCTTATTTAGTGTGTGACTGTTTCTTGTTTTCATTGTTTCTTAGTTGTCTTACTCTGTCAGCTGTTCATTGCTGCTGTTCGGCTGGTTGTCTTTTACTAGTATTATTATTTTTATTGTTTGTTGTTGTTGTTTTTTTCAGGCGTTCTCCCTTCTCTGTGCTGTCTGTTTGTGCCCCCCCATCCCCGTGTCTGCCCCCCTGTCCGGCCCGGTGACAAATCAATACATAATTAAATAAATAACAGACAAATGAGTATATTAATAATCTCCTGTTTAAGTAAATCTGTCTGGCACAGTATGGTATCCAGCTCATCATACTCTATACCAGCCTGCTGCAGGACAGGTTATAAAAAAAAATATATATACTAAAGTAATATTGAAAAAGGGATTGGGCAGTCTTTATTTGCAGATGATGGGGCCATTTGGAAACGAGGTATAACATAGATTTTATTTTAAAACAAATGCAAAAGGCTTTAGTTACTGTGGAGGATTGGGCTGATAAATTGGGATTTAAAGTTTCTGTGGCAAAGTCTAAATTTATGATATTTGGCCACAAGAGAAAGGTACTAGATTTTGGATTATGTATGTATGGTTCCCCTGTAGAGAGAGTGAAAGAATTAAAATTTTTGGTCTCTATAGTGTCTCTGTAGCTAGCATTCTCTTTCTGATTTGAGCAAAAAGTTTAGTCTACTAAACATGTAGAAAGTATGAAGGGAGGAAGATTAGTAATATTAACAGTGTGTTCATAGATTTTAAGTAGTTGCATGTATAGTTGATTGTGTTGTTTCAGATGATTGTTAGCTAACGTTACAGAACCAAACAGGATTCTTTTAGCTATTTTTTCTGATGACGAATTCCCACCCTATTGTTGTTCATGTGCAATACTTCTATGTGGTTTGATTCTACAGACATGGAGGGTTGTTGTGTTCGGAGCATGATGATGATACCTCACCAAAAGTCTAACTCAAATGTGATGCTTGTTATGAATAATCAGCAAAGTAATTCCCCTGTTATGAGATTTTTTGCTTCTCAATTCCTGCTTATCACTAGCACCCAGACTAAACCGCTGAGTTTAATCACACAGACGTATTTTTTGTAGAATGTCAATTCATGTACATTCAGAAGAGTCCAGCCACTAGCTCACTTCAGCTAGGACAAGCACTTAGGTTTGAAAATCATTATCTGATTTAGCATGTAAACTTCATTCATCTTCAAGTCACAATGATATAATGTGTATGTGTTTTTGCTGTGAAATTGAATTAGACAAATACATTCTCTGTTATTTCCCTATAGCTCTCAAAAGCAGGAAGTAACATCTACTCCCCACAAACTACCCTGCGAACCTCCACAGCCTGTGGTCTCGAGTATTACAGAGGAGTCGGACCAGGATAGGCATTGCGTGTTTTCCTTGGCCAGCATTTCAATTTTTTTCTCATGTCGTATTTTCTGTTTTGATTCAGGGGTGAATTTCTCATTTAAGGAGCACAAATACTGGAAGAAGAGGTCGCTATATTAGAGGCCAGGTGAGTTTTTATAGCAGAAGGCTATATTCCTTGGAGTTGGTGGTGTGAGCCTCTGGTTTTCAGTCTTTTCGGCAACACTCATATAACAGTGTGTTTGAACTTGATTCAAATTAAAGTAAAGCAAAGTAAATGTGTGAAGTAGACCCTTGTGCAGACCCGATTCTGACAGAACTGAATTTGCTTATTGTGCCATTCACCTACTGGCCCATTTGTTACTGGCACAGACAAATTGCACATGAGTGTAATGGAACAGTTTGAGGAGTGTTGAGTGCTGTAGGCGAGTGACGCCTGCCACCAACAACGGTGAAACAGTTTGTGCTCTGTGCCTTCTTAGTTTATCTGAGACAGTGAATGAATGTTTTTTGCTTGAACTAATGTGGACTAAATGCTCATTTACTTTTTCCCACTATGTCTTCTTATCTATACTGTTATGTCTAACTCTATTTTACTCATCTGCAGCATGCGATCTCTGGATGTTGTAGAGGAAGAAGAGCAGCATGACTCTCCAGATGGGAGAGCATGTAAGTCTGTCTAATGACTCGGTTTTCATTTTGTGTTATTGATATGTCTTTCACACTTATGCTTATGTGTGTTTATGTACAGTATTGAAATGGATGAGAACTGGACAGACCAAAGATTCTGTGAGGATGGGGACAGCTCTGATGAGGAATTCAATGCTTTTCTTCAACTACGGTATGTTATATTCACTAGCTTCATTCATGCACAATCAGTATATTGTAGGGTTGTACTTGTAGTAGTAGTTACTTTCCACTACTAAAAATCTAAGACCTGTTCATATTTTGCCTTTTTATGCAGAGTTTGGTGGTGCAGCATCAAAGGTCGGGAATATTGAGCAGCTTCCAGAAATATCCATGGACGAGACCGTGCTTGATGTAGCTGTTCCCAACCCCACCGACGATCAGATGTCCGATGTGCCAGACCATCTGAAAGTTGAAAATGACCTGGTTGGAAAGAAGGCCTGCATCGCCTACCTTGACAACCTGAAGCTGCTTACTTAATTTCTGCAATTTCCTATGAAAGTATGTACCTTTTCAGACCAAATTACTTTGGAAAAATGCCCAGGAAGACCACCATTTCAGGTTGAAATGAAATCTCTGGGAACTGGCCTTGTATTGGAATGGGTAAGCAAACAGTTTTGGCTTTCGTTGTGTGCATGTGCGTATGTGTGTACTACACACAATAGTTGTGTGTTGGAGGAGGAGGAGTGTCTGACTCTGTGGAGAATTCGGATTCTGATTTGAGTAGCATAGCTATACGGTCATCCAAATGCTCATTGCTTCATGGATTTTCAAAAAACAGTTTTGTGTTGAATAATCGAGAACTTTCAGCTACAGTGCCTTGCGAAAGTATTCGGCCCCCTTGAACTTTTCGACCTTTTGCCACATTTCAGGCTTCAAACATAAAGATATAAAACTGTAATTTTTTGTGAAGAATCAACAACAAGTGGGACACAATTATGAAGTGGAACGAAATTTATTGGATATTTCAAACCTTTTTTCCAAATAAAAAACTGAAAAATTGGGCGTGCAGAGCCAGGGAGTCTGCCGAAGACGTGAGAACCCGCGAGAGCTCAAGATGGTATCGCTTGTCTACTAACCAGCCAGCCTTATTTTAAGTCCAGCATGCATCATGTTAAGTCAGCGCTGCGCAGTAGTAGAAGACAATACTGTTTCCCAACTGTAGGGGGACCCCGAGAGCAAATGTTACATAGTGTTACTTTAAAATGCCATTTTGTAACTATGTGACAATGAAAATGAGAACAGCATTAGACATTACATTTTCAAAGACTTAACCTGCTCTATAGTGGACTTTATTCAAATGCGATTAGTGAAACAGCGCCCCCAGTCTATTGCATTGCATTTACATTTACAAGCAGCTTTCCAAGGGACATCAATGAAAATGAAAATGCAATCTGTCAGTCCTCTCGTCAAGGCGGGTCCTCAGTTATGACCTCACTTCCTCTTCAGTTGGAAGGCCACTTCAGGTTCTCATGGTTCAGTTGTGTATCTACCATCACACAACACTGGGCGGTAACTTCACAACCAAATGAAATCTATCAACCGAACAACTCAAGGATGGATCTATACCGACTTCAAACTTGGAACCTGTAAGTTGTGCCATTTTTTATGTAGCTTTTCTGTTTTTTGAACACTTGCCTGTTGAACTTGGCGTCAGCCTATTCTGCAGCTAATGTGGCTAACTGTTTCTGTTGTGTATTGTGACATTAAGCCCACACGCCGTTGCCTGTATGTGTGTCTGTTGCTGCAGTAGCCTATGTAAGTTTACCTGGTCGATGCATGGCACGTGCAAAAAACGTTAACTCGCTTATACCCGAAAGCTGTAACATCAGTGTCCTGCTGGACAGTGTCAAACCCATTCTCATTCAGAGATATACTTCACATTACTGCAATACTAGTATTGGTGACAATGATCTCGAGATGATATCGAAGTGTTTCTTGCAGACAGGCCAGCAGAGGTGTTTCCTGCCAGGCTGACAGAAGACAGCAGAGGACTCCTATTCAAGTACAAGTTTATACTTAGCTGTTGAACTCATGTTAATTCTGTTTAGTGAGTCATTTTAGGAGCAGTCGCAACACTGTAAGGTCATCGCTGAATTCAACATCACAGACTGTCAGTCTTTGACTGTCTGTACAGTCTGTGAATCGTTTCAGTTGTTTTCCTTGATGCAGAAATACGTTTGATTATCATACTGCATTACTCTATGTTGATATACATCCAGGTCAGAAACATTTAAGGTTTTAGGTAAATTAGCCTAATTAATGTCTGTTATTATCACAACACATCAGTGACGTGGAAATTGTATTAATTTTGAGATATGCTACTATAACCATTATTCTAAGGATGACTGAATAAAATACTGATATTTTTTAATTAATTAGTTTTTGATATTTATTTTGGATAAATTGTTATATTAATCAACTAATAGGCTACATTTTCCCCTTTAGAATACACAAAAATCATTCATTAGATTAATCGACTAATTGAAAAAGTAATCGTTAGATTAATCTATTCTAAAAATAATTGTTATGTGCAGCCCTACATGAATATAGAGTTTTACTTTATCTGTCAGCCTTATTGGATGCAGATTAGAAAGGGACAGTAAAATGGGTTGCTGGGTGAGTAGTGGAGAAGTATCACATAATTTCTCTGAAAGTTAATTTAAGTGTCAAGTCATGGAGTGAAATAATAATCAGGTACCTACTGATGGCAATAAACACAAAGTTCATTACAGTGTATTACAGTCAGTGCTCATTACAAAACCCACAGTTCAACCACCAATAATTAAGTCATTATCGCAAATGTCCACAAGAGTCCATTTCTTAACTAAAACCTGAATTCTTCTTCTGAATTCCAGCAAGCAAACAAGAAATACTAAGTTTGAGTTTAAATACAAATGCTGGCACTCCGGTTGGTGCTGCTGCAGCGCACTGGCTGTCACTCAGGATGGACTGCGCCTCTTCCACTCTGGAGTTTGGTTTGAAAGTAACAGTGACTCTTTCGTGTTTTACAGATCATCCGAGTGACCTGAAGAAACTCATGTTTGAGGTGTTCCCGGACCCACCAGACTCACCTGCTGGACTCTGGGTCCGGAGTCTGTCATGCTTCAGTCAAGCAAAGGCCTGAAGACAAACCAGCGGTCAGCAGCATCAGGAAAATCTAAGCATCCCCAGGAAGATGCGTCATGATGACCACTGTGACCCAGATGGGACATGATCTGGACAGTTTTTGTATAAATGTTATGGCTTTGCTACTTCGTGCATTATAAATACCCAATTTAAGTTTCTATTTCATCGGCCATGAATAAAGTGCTTTATGTTATAGCAGAAAATTGTGTCCTCTTACATTTAATTTTTTACTATTATTATTATTATGTATTGTGTTTTTATCCTTAACCTTTCCTCTGCTAACTTCTATACGTCTGTCCACATACCAGGGTTTAGGTCAGAGCTGTGAGATTGTTTTGGTGCTTTCCTCTTGTTGTTCCTCTCCTGGAATGATCATTCAGGGCCGAGAGAGGATCTCTGTTCCCCAAAACATAGAAACCTAGACTGTGTAAACGATGATGCTTCCCTTTGCTTGGGGCCAGACGTTAGGGACTGTCTTAGGAGACAGAACCTCTGGTCCAGCTGATTAGTGTTGTAGTACTTCTCTGTTTATTCTCTTTTGTTAAATAAATTCTTCAAAGACAACGGTTTGTTGTAACCAATTATTTGCTCAGCCCCTCACCAGGAATATAATTTCCACGACACTTTATTTTTTAGGTTTTGGTCTTTTTTAATTTTACTAGTACGGGACCTGTGGTATTACAAAGATATCATGTTACCACAAAGGGTTTATAAAAAACCTTTACTAATAGTAGTGAATGAGTCTGTAAAGAAGACAAGACATTTTCTTATTTCACAAACTTTATTATATGTTGACAGATCACAATATAAATGATATCAAATGATCTCAAACTGAATCTGCATCTGAAAAAAATAATTATCCAACAAATAACTTAAATATAGTAGTATAGTATAAAGTATAAACATCCAAATTTCTTTGAAACATGGACACAGTACAGTCCGCACAGTAGCTGCAGATACTTTGGTTAGTGAGTACAGAGAAAGGGAAGGGAGGAGGAAGAGCATTAGACTTTGTAAGATCAGTAACCTTCAGTTGTGCTGAAATGGTAACTTACAGCATGTTGCACTCATTTCTGCCACGTGTGTACACAGCACATGTGTTTAAGACAAGGGGTGGCCACAGTAATCACTATACTTTTGTTTATATAATATCTGTATTTTTTGCCAGAAAAGTACTTGACTAATGTTTCACATCTTCTGTTTGTTTCATGTCTTACTTGACACCCCACCCTAACAATAACTATAGGCCTCTTTCTATTTCACTCGGCTCACAGCACTTCTCCCAAATGTAGGCTACCTGTAAAGACATATAGAAGAAGTGTATATTTATGGTGAGAGTTAATACATAGATTCTGTCAGAGACATAAATAGCAGTATTTGGTTTCGAATTGTGCTGGATGTTTGTACCCCGATACTTAGTTTGAAAATGAAACTATTAAGCCCAAAATTATTCGTACCCAAATTAAAATTTTACCAATAGGTTTCATCTGGCTGGAAATGACAGAAACAAGTGACAAAGACAGTAAGATATTGTGTTAGAGATATTGATGATAACTATTTCTATGGTTTTTTCTTTTTACAAAAATTTGTACTTAAAATTCCAAGTCCAAAATTATTCATACCTATTGAAATTGTTGCGAACTTTTGAGAAAATGTAAGTTTCTATACCATTTGAAATTGTCTTGCAAGTTCTACCATGAGAGAGCATTATAATCACCTATAAATGCAAAGTCTATGTACCAAAAGTACAAATGTGAAAACGGCATATACGTTTGAGCCATTTTATATGGCAAAATCTATGTCCCCCCCCCCCCCCCCTTTTTCCGGCCATTTCGGAGTTGGCTCATAGCCGAGGCGGTTTGAATGACTAATCAATCAATGAATCAATCAATCACACACTCACTCCGCATCAGACGTGATTAAACGGTTGACAGGCGGACAAAAATAATGTAGCCTATAGAAAACATGTGACACAAGGAAAAGGTGGTGCTGAAATGTTAAGGGAGAAAAAAAAAGAGTTTGCTCGAGGCAGGTGAAGCTAAGTGCCTCAACATTACGTTTCTTTTGTGCTGCTGTTACTTACAGCCTACCTGAAGACAGCAGTGAGGACTCCTGCTGCAGGACAGGTAGGAACTTGTTCTAAGTTATAAATAAATAAAATAAAGAGAGTAATTGGCACCTTTTCACGTTCCTTTTTTAAAACTCTACTTTTACTCTTCACTCCAGTATTTTCTGTAGGCCAGTAATCTACTTTTTTAGAATGCTACATTTTCCATTCATACTTTCATAACTTAACCAGCCTGTAACCTGCATTTGCTTCATTAACTGAAATGATTCAGTTACACAGAAGAGCGCCTGGTTTCTGAGGCTTGTCACAGTCACAGAGCTGGGCAGATGCAAACATTTAGAAAATCAGGTAAATCCCAAGTGATAAAGAAATATACTTAATTAGCACTTTTTTGGATGCACTTATCATATTTTAAGTGTATAATAAATGTGTTATTTCTTACAATATTCAATACTTAAAGTCAACTTTAAGATAGTTGCAATATATTTTAATATAATTAGTTGTGTTAAAATGGACCTATTTTAAGTACCTTTACTGTAATTTAAATATACTTTTTAAATTTTAACTTAAAATACCCTTTTGTGCTACACTTGAAGAACAGTTTAAATATATTTTAAATGTGTTCCCTCAACATTTTTATTAGCATTTCAGCATATTAGTAATTTATTACTAGTATACTCCAAGAGCCACTATTAATATCTCAGGAAGCTGCTTTATGAAACCATTCAGTATGAGAATAATTCATTATTAATGCATTAAAAATAATTTGCAAAATGCCCATTTAGCATAATAATAAAAATCAGTTAGAAAATAGTATTTTACAACACACACACACGCAGACAACTAAAAAAAAATAATTTTGTGTACATAAAAGGTACAGCAGCATGTATCACATCTTGACCAAAATACCTTCAAATGAAAATAAAATCAGTAAAATGATGATCAGTATTACTGAAAAGTACACTATACACATCCCATCATTAATGTTACCCACGGGGGTCCCTCATACGGTTCGGACTCTGGGCCCGGTTCAGACGGCCTCTCGGCGAGCCGTCCCACTTCTGACACCATATGCGGCCAAAGGCGAGCGCCGTCACCCTGCCCAGATTCAAACACAGGTCTACAGGGTACCAAACATGCAACTTTGACAGCAAATGGTAAATGATTCGATATTGATATTTTATTAGCTACAGTTAGTAGAAGCAGCCTTCCTTTTTGATTTAGCACTTAATATGTGGTAACCGCAGTTGATCAATGAGCACAGCAAAGTGTCTTAAAATGTCCTATACAGCTGGATGCACAATTTGGCAGAACAGATGATGTAGACTAATTTACCTGCCGAGATTTGAGCCCACCTCTGTTCTCAGCATAAAAGGGCGTTACCACACGCGAGGTGCATCTAATTCTCGGCAGGTAGGCAGAATTTGTCACAACACCTGGCGCTGCAAAACGTCACCGTGATGTCACATCACCATGACATAACATTACCCCGCGGGAGCAAGGCGTTTGTTTTTCTCTGGCTGCACAAAGTTGCAACCACCTTTTGCCTGATCATTGTTCTAAGCTCATAGTAAGCTCACGCATGGGTCGCCAAATTTACTTGGGCGGCTGTTAATCTACCTGGGCGGCCAGCCCAAGTTAAGCCTATGTGTGGGAAACACTGAGGTGAAATGGTTTTCCACAAGGGACCCGTGCCAGTAAACGCTCGGTTCTTCCATTACAACGTGATCAAAAACATCACATAAACTCTACTGTGCATTCAGCCAAGGAGCAGTGTATGATAAAATGTTATTAAACAGGTACAACAAATAATACAAACATACAGACTTGCTTAAAAACTGTTCTGTCTACATGTCATTTCACATTAACACAGCAGTCAATTAGTGAAGTACAAAAGTAGCCAATTACTTAATGTATAACAATATTTTAAATAAAATTATTTTTTCACAAGAATATTTGTTTATATAGTCTGACCCCGCTGACATGTAATGAGAGCAAAAACAGTGATGGTGTGCAGGAGCCAGACATACCTATGAGCACATGGAGCTTGTGAGGGTCCAGCTGGTTCTTTGAGGTTTTCGCGGCCTCTAAGCCATCTGAGTGAGGCGACGACCCCAGGAAGCTCTAAAAGAAAAGAAATGCAGTTGCAAATGAGATATAGTAAATATTCAGTCAGGCCAGTACTTCCACCTAGTTTAGTTCTTCATTTGCGTATCATTATAAACACTGTAATTCTATTCTTATAGCAAACCTTTATTAATATTCTTTATTTAATTTTCTAGTTGAATACAGTATCTATGACCATACAAATGGACATGAAGTTGAGCAGTATTTTACATGACATCACATGCTATTATATCGTGTGTTCAGGCATTGCAGTACATAAAAACATTATTTCAAGCGCGTCTTAAAACAAGTCTCACATATGCATGTACGCTTTAACACTGCTGTTATAACAGAGTTATTGGTCACTGTAATGATTCCCCCTCCATGGTTGCAGTGAAGAGAAAAAACCTTGAGGATATGCACTTTTGAATAGTCTAACACTGATGCTTAGCTGATGATTTATAGTAGCTTCAGACTTACAGACATTATGGGCAGGAATAATAATGATTACAATGACCAATAACTTACTGTAAACATGGACATGTGAGTATTCAGGTAGACTTTAAAAATGTGAACCTAGCACACAGACAGCAACATATTGGTTGCATTATTACTCTGATAAAGACCTTACTGGTCATTTTAACAGTGCAAAAGCAGAATTGTGGCCTCTCACACACACATGCACAGACCTGCCTGGTTAAAATCTCATGCATCAAATTCCAGCAACAGGTTACTGAGACTGTATATTACCGAAATTTTAGTAACATTAAAAATTGCCTTACAGCAAAAAGCAATAAACTACTGTAACGTTAATTGCGTTTTTTTGTAACACGTTACTCCCAACACTGTTTAAGGCAGACAAAAGTTGTTGAAAAATGCTAACTAATATATTAATCCACGTGCTAGCATTAGCTAATGCACATCAGAGCTATCCACCAAGGAAAATATTGTCAAACCCAAAGTGAGCTCAACTTTCGTTAACGTTATCTGCGTCTGTCCTCTCCTGCTTGTAACTTGCCAGTCGCGCCTCTTTAGCTCTTTTCACATTTAACTTCTGCAGGGAGCTGACTGGATATTCTTCTCCTCTGAGTTCTTTTCTTATTATGTCTGAGGTGTCCACCTTCCAAATCCGAGTCAGTAAAGTAAAACAAAAGAACCAGAGAAACAAAATAATTTCTGGCCAGAAATAGCTTCCCTCTCTCAGCAACAGTAAGCAACTTTCGTGAAGAGGACTTGATTTGAAAACCTTGATTTTGATTAGTCCTACTGAATGCACTGCGCTAGTGGGCTGGGCGGAGGGCACACTTCCGCCCTGTGTACAAGTGTTTACTGTTTACAAACAGAAACATGTATAACTACAATATGATTTAAAGTATGCTTATTTCAATATGTTGTTGTTTGTTAAGTTAACAACATGTGCTGCTTCCCTCTAGGCCCGGTTACCTTTATGAAAGAGGTCTTATCTCAACTAGCTATTTACCTGATTAAACTAAATTAAAAGAAGGAAAATAAATGAAAAAAAAAGGAAATAATATGCTTTTAAAAATCATACCACTGGAAACATGGCTGAAACATGTGGCAATTACATAGATAATTACAATATTTTGCAGTAGCCTACACAATGAAGCATGTTTGGCATAAATATATTTTTAACCCACTAAAAGTGTAATTGTTTAACAATGTACTTCCACAAAGTACACCTAAACAGTATTTACATAAACACAGGTATAACAGTTAAATAAATATATTTTAATAAATAGACTAAAATGTTGTAAAAATATACTTTTATTTAAGCATATTTATTAAAAGTTTAATTTAGTATATATTTATTACCAAATTATTCAAAGTACTTTTCAGAAGTATGTTAAAGGTCAGCAGAATATATCTGTAATATACTTGTAGTAAGCATGTTAGAAGCATGAATGTACTATAAGCATACTATGTGAATTTCAAGTATATTTTCAGTACCTTTAAGAGCACTTCTTTTTGACCTGGGATGTCTTTTCAGTTTAAGGCTTTATTGTTCTACTAATACAACTAAAATCCAGTGAGCGCACACCATGTGGCCGTGTTGATGATATCCATTTACCCTCACTTGTATTCACTTTAGTTAATTAATAAATACTCACTTGGAACACAAGAATGTGTGTGTGTGTGTGTGTGTGTGTGTGTGTGTGTGTGTGTGTGTGTGTGTGTGTGTGTACTATTTAGTGATCCAGGTCACTGTACAAAGAACTGACCCTCAGATTTGAGACTGACTGATTGATTTAACTAACTCATAAGAAATAATTAAACATTTAATAACAAAGTGACCACTAGTAATAATTGTTGTAATTATTAAGCTATACCCAAGGATTCCTAAAGGCCTTGGGTGTGAGAGGCCAGTAAGAATCACCACCAAGGCTGTCCTGATGAATCTGAGCAACTGTGGTACCAACATCTCAGACAATCCAGCAGACACTGCACAAGGCTGGTCTCTATGCACACCAACCACAAGACAAGACACAAAAGCTCAACTGGACAAAGAAGAAAGCTTTTGGTCATCAGTTCTGTGGTCGGACGAGACAAAGACTGAGTTGTTTGGACACAAGGACGTGGCTTTTATTTGGTGAAAGAAAGAAAATGCTTTTTACCCAATGGGACAGGCAACCTTGTCAAAGTAAATAGCATTATTTATATTATTAAGAGGACTATATTGAGATTCTACAGGAAAACATCAGGCAGTCTGCAGAAAAACTTGGCCTTGGGCAGCGTTGGATCTTCCAACAAGACAATGATCCCAAACATACAGCCAAAGTGGTCAAGAAATGGAAATGGAGAATCTGTGGTGGGAACTAAAGACATGAGTGATGGAAAGGAGGTCTTCCAACCTCAAAAACCTGGAGATCATCGCAAAAGAGGAGTGGTCCAAAATCCCAGTGGAGACATGCAAAAAGTTTATTAGCAAATATAGAAACTGTTTAATTGTTGTGACTGTTTTGCCATTGATTACTGGAGGACATTTTAATGGGATATGAAACATTGGACAAAATAATAATACTAATAATTTATATAGCGCTTTTCAAGGTACCCAACAAAAAAGGGGGTGTATGAGAGTTGTGTTTAAGGCCTGAAGACTTCCGTGAACTTGGAACCCAGGTTTACTTTTGGATGCTTTTCAAGCATGCACAAGGAAGGGGCAGTGTGGATCTCAAGTGGGAGTTTGTTCCAGAGTGTGGGGGCAGCAACACAGAAGGATCTGTCCCCAGAATACCATAGTCTGGAATGGGGGACAGCAAGCAGATCTTTGTCACAGGACTGCAGATATCTCTGTTGGATGTACGGGTGGAGAAAATCAATAAGGTATTGTGGTGCAAGTCCATGGAGGAATTTTTAGGTGAGGAAGAGGATTTTGTAAGTGATGCAGGACCTGACTGGCAACCAGTGAAGCAGCAGTAGGGTAGGGGTGATGTGCTGCCAGAATTTAGCGCATGTTAAAACTGTAGCAGCTGAGTTATTGGAGCCTGTAGAGGGCTTTGCAGGGCACACCAAAGAGGACACCACTGCAGTAATCAAGATGGGACATGATGGAAAATACAATGAGAGTCTCATCCACAGAGTCAGAGAGTGAGGGCCGGAGCCTGGAAATGTTCTGAGATAGTAGAAGGCAGATTAGGTGATGTTTTTGATGTGAGACTGGAATGAAAGGGTGAGTCCAGGATGACTCCCAGGTTTCAAACTTAAGGGGATGCAGAGATGGTGCAGCCATCTACCTCCAGGAGGATGTCACCAGCCTTCTTCAGCAGCGACTCTGGAGCCACCACCACGAGTTTAGTTTTATTGTTGTTGAGTTTGAGGAAGTTAGCAATTGTGCAAGTCTTTGTGTCTTGCAGGTAGTTAACAAGTGGCACGGCTGGGAGCTGGGTTGAGGGATGGTTGCTGATGTACAGTTGTGTGTCATCAGCATAGCAGAGGAAATAAAGTCCATGTAATGTGGCCAAGGGGTAGCATGTAGATATTGAAAAGAAGGGCTCCACCAAGTACAGATCCCTGGGGAAAACCATTTTTAACTGCCGCCAACGTGGAGCTGAAATCTTTGAAGGTGATATATTGTTTCCTGTTGAAGAGATGGGACAGGAACCAGGAGAGCGCTGTGCCAGTAAGGCTAATAAGTTCTGAGGCTGTGAAGAATGAGGATGTGTAAGATAGTGTTGAAGGCTTCAGAGAGGTAAAAGAAAATGAGTATACTGATGAGAACGCTGTCCACAGCAATGAGAAGGTAATTTGTGATTGGAGGGGTTCAAATAGTTAATGGTGGAACACATGGTGCTGGGCAGCCACAGGTCTTTCCAGGATTTTATTGAGGAAAGGTAGATTAGAGATTGAGCGGTAATTGTTTCTGTTTCTGGGTCCAGACTGTTGAGGAATTGATGATGCTAACCATGATGCAACAGAGGGTGGGAAAACATGACATTTTCAGTGCAAATAAAAACAACAACGTAGAAAAAGTTAAGATTTATCATTAACATCTCTAACACAATATCTTGCTTTTGCTTCTGTCTTTGTCACTTTGTCACAGCCCAATGAAACCTAAATTGAAAATTCACAATGAATCAAAATCTGGCATGGGTATGAATACATTTGGTCTAACTGTATTTGTGAGGACTTTTAAAGATTGAGGTCTTCAGTAGGAGCCTATGGGCTTGGAGCTGCAAGCCACAGACAGGAAGACTGAAAAGACTAACACATTGTTGGTTTTGCTCTTTTCCTGTTGAGAGTAATAAAAACAGAGTTTATAATGTAATCTAATAATTCCAGCCGTATTGTTTAAAGGGAACATCAGTATAAAAGTGTAAAATCCTTGACTGAGCTGATGGTGGGTTGTGAGGCAGCTGAGATGAGCTCCTTGGAGGTCCTACTCTGCTCCCTGAGCACCTTCCTCTTCAGTCGGCCCTCCTTCAGCTGCAGAAACACCCCCGTTATAATAATCCAGCTCAATGTCCTCCTGCCTGCCCGGCTTCTGCCCCCTGCTGGCCTGGAGAGACATGACAGCACACATGAGAGTTAGTGCATCACTCCTCCTCTTCTTCAGGTCAGTAAACACAGACCGAGTGCTTCATCTCAGTCCTCTAAACAACAGACATGTGTCAGTACCTTATAGTAGAAACAAAGGGCAGCGATCACCAACAGCAGAGTCAGCGGCAGGACGACCAATTTGATGAGAAGACCTGTTGGATCTGATCAAACACATGGACAGACATCACATCACACAACATCATGAGTCCATCAGCTCCTGTTAAACACAAACTGTAGTGACCTGAAATCTCCCAAAACCACTTCAGTCCATCATTAATCTCTATCAAAATAGATATCTGAACGCAGAATCTGGAGGCAAGAGACAAGGTTTTGGTACCAGAAGCGTTCTGGTTCTGGACCAATCACATTTAAGCAGGCTTTGGCTTGGTGTCTGATTCTGGCTTTTAGAAATAAAATTTTATATGTGGGCTCTTGTGGACATTTCCCTACCACACTAGGATCTCTGCATCTCGGAGTGGGATATGCATATCTAGGCTTTGCTCACTGACTCCTGTGAGCAGCTCCATGCTAACAACTCGCAACAGAGCTTCAGGGAGTCGGTGGCTTCAAAAACCGACCCCTGCTTTTCCCACCTGCAAATCCCAGAGACAAGATGGCTTCGGCTAGTGCTGGCTGTGGGGACATGGTGGAGGACCCTGATGCAGGTCTTACTGCTTAGTTTAGCTAGCTGCCTGTTCGGGAGGAGGAGGGCGGCGAAGACAGTGAGAATGATGTCAACATACAGCAGATCTCCTCGTTATTTAACCAATACAACAACACATGCACAGCATTTAGAAAAAATGTTGCAGAGTAAGAAAACAAAACAGGAACGCTGCAAGTAGCACAGAAGACAGCGGAAACTGTTTCCAGGGGAATCTAAAAAGTGACAAACACACCGGGCACGGCAGGAAAACGCCAGTTTGAACGGATCTTCTTTTCCAAAGCTGCATGGAAACAGTCAGTGTGACGTTTCAGCTGCTCTGCTTCAGCTTACCTGAGACAGTGAGAGACAGCCGACGGCTCTCAGAGGAGAAGTCATGAGAAAAAACATGGAGGTGATAAACACAGCTGTAGCTTCCTTGGTGGGCGGGCTCTGCAGCAGGAAACAGGAAGTGGGCAGAGTGATTGACAGCTGGCTGGGTGTAGTTGTGTGATGTGATGGAGGAGGTGAAGGCGAGCTGGAAGGAGCCTCCTGGGTACTGTGGCTGGATGGAGCAGCTGATGGTGAAGGTGGAGCCCCTGGACACCTGAAACCCCTGCTGCTGGGCCTCGGAGACCCCGTTCACGGAGGAGGACACAGAGATGTTGGGCTGAAGCAGCAGGTCTGTAAACACAGATGATGAAAGGTCTCATTCACCCTCTGTTCATGACACAACTTTATTTTGAAAGGATGAAAATCGAATCCCTTTAGCGTTACAGACGATCAGCCAGTTTTCTAAGGCCTCAGGCTTACAGTTGAACGTAGATAAATGTGAAGTGATAACCTTACATGATTATCCTCTGCAGTCACTACATAATATAAAAATTAAGAAGCAGGTTAAATACTTGGGAATTGTTATCTCCAAAGGGAAAAGAACAATTGGCTATATGAATACGTGGAATCAGACAAATGTAAGTCAATTCTAAATAGGTGGCTGCAGAGCGACGTCACAATCTTAGGAAGGGTTCTACTCTCTACAACGGATAGTTTGTCCAGACTCATTTATCCGGCTTTCTCCTTACCCATATCAGTGAGTATGATCAAAGCAGTGAATACAATCAATTTTAACTTCATGTGGAGAAATAAATTCCGTTATATAAGGAAGACTGACATGGTTAAAACTATGAAGATGGCGGTATGAATGGGACTGATTTTGATATCATGAACAGTGTTTTGAAATTGAAATGCTTAAACTCTTTCTTTTTGGTTTATTGTCTCCAATGCGATTTTTCCAAAAATGTGTGGAATACAGGCATCGCCCTCTAAGGCTATCAATATTGGGTTTACCCCTTCCGCGTGCCTGCGTGGCACTGAGAACTTTAGTCTACGCCCACCCACAGCGTGGGCCTCTCCTACATCCGCACCTTGTATATATGCAACGGTGAGACCCAGCCTTCGGCTCCCTATTTTCTTCAGCACTGAGCTTGACGTCTAAGAGCAAAGAAGACAGAAATAGAAGAAAAAGAGAAACCTGGCTGCAGTGAGAAGAACGATGTCTTCCTACCTGCCGAGGCGAGACGATGCCACTTCCATCCGGCTGTGTGACGTCTGCAAGATGGACTTCATCCTGCCGGGGGGTCGCCGTCCCCAATGTGAGGCTTGCCTCGGCCCAGCGCACGCCGGATGGGCTCTCACCCTTGAGTCACGCTGCCTGTACTGTGCTCTCCTCTCCACCGAGGAGCGTCAACGCCGTGCGGATAACTTCGTCTTCCTTGACGAGGAAGTGTGGGAGCCCACACACCTGCTGGACGAAGCGATGGGGATGCTGTTGCCAGAGGAACAGGAGTCAGACGACTCCGCCCTCTCCCCCCACGGGTCCCCCAGCCTCTCTCCTCTTCAGCCATTCCAACCTCCAGACATCAACCCTGGTCTTCACGAGGGTGATCCCAGCCTCGAGGGGGCTCTCTCCGGCGATGTTTCCACCCCTTCCATCCATGGCTCAGGAGGTAGAGCGGGTTGGCCATTAATCGGAAGGTCAGCGGTTCAATCCCCAGGTTGCGTGTCGGTTGAGCAAGATACTGAATGTATGAATGCATGAGTGTATGTGTATGAGTGAGTGTGAATGTTAGTTTCCGTTTGAGCACTTTCAGTGTGTCTAGAAAGGCGCTATACAAGTACGGAGCATTTACATCCGGATGAAATGGCCCCTTAGCCAGCCGGCTAGGGTGCTGCCATGGACCCCGGTCTCCACTTACGTCCCATCACTAAGGGCTCCACCTAAGGATCCAGCAGATCTGGGATTTCCCCCAGTCCCCCAGTCCCTCCCATAGCGTTCTCCTTCACCAAGCTGGCGGCTAATTCCACCACCAAAAAAAAAGAGGACATTAGCATGGGTCACCACTGCCCAGATGGCCGTCTGGCAGACCCAGATCCACCGGATCCTGTGGCTCCAGCAGTCCGTCCTCCCAGAGGCTACGAGGAACATTCTCACTCATTTCCTCCACACTACACAGACCGACTGCGGCTGGCCAGGCGGCCTTCACGCAGCACGGCTCCAATGTCATAAGCAGCCCTCACCCTGGCTGACCATGGTCGCCACCCAGCTTGTTTCTTCCGTCTTACCCGGCCCAGCTGCGGCCGGATGTTATGCTTTCTGGCAACGTGGTCACGAGCAGACCCGCTACCCGGTTGCCTGCCTCTGCCCCTCCAAGCGCCTCCGCCTCCCCTCCCCTGAGAGCGGCAGGGTCGCAGAATGGCGGTGGACCCGCGAGTGCATCCGGGAGGGGGGGGGGGGGGGGGGGACACCCATGCAGATCCTTCTTTCTGCGCCAGACCCGCCCTTTCAAGGCAGGTCCCCCATGGGTCATCGGCCATCCTGTGCCCTTACCCGACATTCATGCCTAAAAGCATTACGAGCTCCTTTCGGTCGCGGGTCATCACCCTCTCGGGCTTTTTCCCTCCCCCCCCCATGGGTCGGCGGAGGACGCCACATCCCACCTCGTCTGCCCAGTGTGAGCACTGTCCTGCTATGTGGCGTGCACGGTCGCCTGGCACCATTCGCAGCATCTGTTTGTGCACTACAGTAGAGTGGTCCAAGGGACTTCCCCTGTCGACGCAACGCCTGTCTCACTGGCGATGCCATTTCCCAGGCTTACGTGTCTGCCGGGGAGTCTCCCCCGGATGGCATCAGAGCGCACTCCACGAGAGGCGTCTCCTCATCAGTGGAGTTGCATGGTGGGATGACAGTGGACGACATCTGCACGGCGGCCTCCTGGTCGTCCTCTTGCTCTTTTGTCCATTTCTACCTGCAGGATGTCTCCTGTCTCTCTCTGACTGGGCCAGTGAGGCCCACACCTTTGACAAGTGTCTTGCTCAGGGACAAAAAGGCAAGCATCTTATCTATGCGCCATCACCACATATATATACAAGGTGTGGACTTAGGAGAGGCCCACGCTGTGGGTGGGCGTAGAATAAAATTCTCAGTGCTGCGCAGGTGCACGGAAGGGGTAAACCCAATAGCGATAGCCTTAGAGGGCTGCGCCTATACTCATAGAATCCGGGTTACAGTATGTAACCCCCGTTCATCATTAACAACAGAACACATCTTTCTAACAGCACAGACATTTACATTTAATACACTGTCACACTTGTTATCCATCATCATCTGTGTTCGGGGCGGGACAGTTATGTGAGCATGTACACTGAAGTTACAACAACTTCAAAGGCAAAGAGTTTAACCTCGCTGCCACTGCCACGCCGTTAACTGCAAAAGTTTTACATCATGGCCTCATCAATATGTTAAGGGTTTTCTGGGACAGTTTTGAAGTTGATATGTCCGACCTGCTAGGAGTTGTACATTACAGCATAAAATGTGTCTTTTCCTGTTGCCAGCCCCCCCCCTCTCCTCCCCCCCAAGACAAAGCCTCTCTCGTGACTTTTTAACTAATATCATATTCATAACAGCAGCAAGGAGTATGTTTTTTATAAACAATATAGCCTGGGCCTAACGTTTCTTTATGCCACCGGCTGAAATAATAAAATAAAGCAAGTAAATCCCGACTTTTAAACAGCAGTTTTTCTGCACATGTAGCCTATTTATAAGAGTCTTGTCTTCAGTAGTTACAAAACGTTACGTTAACACCACTCTCTCTCGAAGAGTCCAACCATCTATCATATAAAACCGTGCATATGCACACTTGCAAGCTTGTTTTCTTTATAAATCACAGAGGAGCTACAAAACAAGATTTCACTCAGCGTGACACTTATGTTCTTTTTGGTGAAGCTGAAGTTTGGTGGGTAAAAAACGCCCTTTCATGCAACGCTCATGCACCAGAGGAGAAGGGGCGCCAGGGCTCCACTCCCTTTATTACCGATCTGCAGGAACCGGGCATTCCTCCTGAGTAGTGACGTCTCTGACCGAAGGGACACATACACACACCCGCAAGACGGGATGACCCCGGTACTAATTTGGATTCCCCCCGTTTGAAAAGAGAGTAAACCAAATGCATTCCACCTGTGTTTAAACATGTATTTAGGTTACACAAACAGTCCACTTACTTCACAACGATGGCGATGAGTTAAAAGAAATAGCCTCTGACTTGTTGTAAACGACAATGAAACAGTGTTATTTTCCATAACAAACATCACATTCCATACACTGGCGCACAGCGTTTGGCTCGATTAGGAAGCGAACATGTGATAAATATATAATATGAAACTATGTACTAGTATTTGCTCGACTGACTCATTGAAAACGGCATCAATTTAGATGTAATTTGTCTCCTGTTCACCTTATTTATGACAATAAATTGTACTGCATACAAGTAATTAATATGATTCCTGATTAAACGGTTTGAGGTGTTCTTTTGCTGAAACAGAATCTCCGTTTATGTTTATTATCCTCAGTCATGGTTTTTGTGTGCCTGTTAGTTTGTTTTTTTGGGGGGGGTTTATAGCGAACTTCAGGGAGAATCAATCAAACTAGTGTCTGATTATTTAGAAAGGCTTTAGGCTTTAAGCTATACTACTCAGAGGTAATGTTTTGATATATTTTACACAGTTGTAGGACTATTCACTTCAAACAGTTTCATCCTTCTGCCATGTGAGTCACCATTTCTCGTTTCTCCTCTTTATGTGTGTACACATGGTTCAGAGTTTACTTACTTACAAACTCGTTAAAGACATTGAAAATGTGGGTCCTGCACATTTTCAATGTCTTCAACGAGTTTGTTTTTTATAGATCACAACCTGACCAACCAGTGGCGTTAGTTGTTGTCACCTATATTGTAATAATATTTATTTCTTCTCACTGTATTGTCGTCTTCTGTGTTACTTAGACTGATCATGTGTTTTGCCTGCAACATCTTAATTATTAGCTAGTAAACAAAATATGTCATATGTGATACGTAAAAAACAGTAGTTTAAATGGATTGATGATAAAACTGAGTTTGCATTCTCTATCTGCTACAGCTGTGCTTAACTCTGGGAGTATCTGAGAAATAAAAAAGGCTTTCGAACTAAAAAATAAAACAATTGCTAAGACTTCAAGTCATGTACACGAAATGCAGAGTTTTTCCTGATCTGAGAACTTTACCATACGGTTTTTGAAATGGCTGTTAGAGAGACTGATGGTTTGGATTTTAGATTTTCAACTTCACACAAGAAGATGTTCACAACAACAGTTT